AAAATATATAGAGATGAAGCTTTATAACTTTTTGGAGGTGGAGGAGAACGGTATTTGAATTCATTTAATTATTCATAGACATATTATATGTAGACATTAACAGTTATTACCTCCCTACGAATAAAAGTCTATACGTTGTCTGATATTTTTATGAATGTAATCTTGATTTCGTAATCATATAAAGCTGTCAGTATTTAAAGGAAGAACTCATTCTGATGGCACTGCCAGGAAAAGGACACACAGTGGGCTTCAGACTGTGTAAGGTCTGGTTCGTGAGCAGACAGCGTCGGGGGTAACAAATCAGTTCTCGATAACGTTATGTAAGTGTTCCCATAAGGATTCATGAAAACAATTACATCAGCTTTATTGCACACATTTATCAAAAATGTACAAATTGATCAATTTCGTATGTAGATATATAAACAATCGATGAATTCTGTATGAAGATAAATATACAAATATTTGTATATCTTTCTTTTCTTGGTGCCTGACAATGCTTTTAAAATACTGATGGAAATCAAAATTACTTACATGAAGAAACTAGATCAATCATTTTCATTGTAATGGATATATTTTGTTTCTATTACATACATGAAGCGACTTGATAAATCATTTTCATTGTAATGGATATATTTTGTTTATTCTTCTAATATGCAGACAGATTCTATATTTTACAAAAAAAACATCCAGATCAATATATAGGCATGTGGAATGTGTAACCGGACCTTTATAAATTCAAAAGGCGGGAATCAGGTGCGTAGAGGGGTAAACATCCCCTGTTGACCAGTCACATACGCAGTGCGTCCCATGGATTGATCAAGGATTAAGCAACAAAAGGCCTTCATTTAGTATTACTACTCATTTAGTATGAACAACTCAGCCAAAATACGACCTAATGATAGTTTATATTTACTAACAAGGTTATTATATCGACCATAATATTTACGAAAAACCGTCTTGAAATCTACGTAATTTCAACTTCTCAATGAATAGCAAATTGATAATTCTCAAGTCTTTGAGAGAAATGAAACTCAATAAGCTGGGATACAGTATTTACACTGACAGATTTTTACATTTCTCTGGAGAAGCACCAAACAAACGTCTCTCACTGTAAGAAATGGTAGCATGTTGTACTAAAGACGTGTCTAAAACATGGCTTTTATAAAATTATTTTATTAAAGACTATATTCTTTTCTAGCATGCATAAACACTTTTCTCACTATTGCAGATATCTAGAACTATAGGCGTACTTTCACCAGCATATTCCAGATCTTAAAAAAACGATGAACTTATTGAGTATTTAAATATCAGCAATTTATTTCAAGTAAGTAATATCATAGCTGCAGATCTGTAGCTCTCCGAAAAAATATATTGATAGACCGGAGAGCTACAGTGCCACCCATTGAAAAAACTGTATATTTATTGCGCACAAAAAGTGCGCTCGGTTCTCGATTTATTTCTTAATGTTTTTAAAACTGTAATCTCAAAATATTACTAACTGTGTGTTCCTAACGTATTCTTTCGCTGTTTCCACAACCAAACATTCCTCATAATTGTTGTTAATAGTCCTCCTGACCCTGATATTGTAATCACCGAAGATTTCGCTTATTTATACTGCCATTTTGGTTTCAAAGATAATTCGGTCCAATATGCTTCGTTCAGATGTCAACTATGAGAGTACTTGATTGAGGATAAAGGATTTTTTAAAAAATCTTTCCTTTTTTGAAATTGAGGTAAGAATTTGAAAGAATTAATCAAGAATCGGGCGCACTTTTTTGTGCGCAATAAATATACAGTTTTTTTAATGGGTGGCACTGTAGCTCTCCGGTCTATCAATATATTTTTTTCGGAGAGCTACAGATCTGCAGCTAGTAATATCATAACAAACATTCGTGCAGTTTACCAAATCAATCCGAACGATTTTACATGTAGCCTTTTTTTATATCTTACACAACTGCTTCTTCAATTAAAAATATATATATACATTTGTGGTATCTCTCCATTATATAAACATACAGAGAGCAAATATCTTCAATTCTGTATTAAGTTTGTCATAGGTCAGAGGTCAATACATGACCTCATCACACAGAGCACTAATAATATCTACCGGTACATGCCTTATAAGATGACTTGCTCTACTTGCTTTCCATGTATAACAATGAACAAAATAAGCAAATAAAATAATAATTATTTTATTTACAATGTAAACAAGTATTTCATACACTTTTTTTGGCTATTGATTCAACCTGTGTACATAGAGAATATATACATGTACCGTTAGAAACTAGGATAGCCTTAAAATTTTGTTAACATTTTTTTTTAACTTAAATTTTCAGCTGCACAGTCTCTAACGTTCATCCTTATTTTTGGGGTAGACCTTTAGTTAAATTTAATTTTCCGTGTATTATTTTTTCATTAAATTCTACTCACGATAAATGTGTAAATCTGTTGGAAAATATTGCAATCACGCCATGAACAGCTGACAAACACCTCGGCATTGTCGTAGTCTCTCTCGTTACAAATGTAATCTGTCGTCAGTGTCTCCGTGTTTATACATGATAAACTACTGATATGCCTTCAGTTACTAAAATCGTAGATTGAATGTTTTTGATCAAATTTAATACTTGATTGCAAATTAACTGGCCCGGACAAGTGTCTCAATCCATCGAATCCATCCATCCCGTCCCGGCGACCGAAATTCCTCCAACTTTTTATCATCAAATTTCGGACGTGTTTCTTGTGTCTTTTCAGCATCGATTATCAATTTTCGCGAATAAAAATATTCCCAGACAACAATCTGTTCACTATTACTGATCACAAGTAGCCTTTCACAAAATATTCCCTTCGAAATAGATTCCTTAGCCTAGTGAATTCGAAGCGTAACCGCCTTTCAAGCCGATTTACACCTTGCGTACTTTTGTAAGAAAATCTACGGCGACCGGTTAGTGCAATATTTATATCCGAATATATTTAATTGTCCATCTAAAATGTATATATAAGTAATATATAACAAGGTTATAAACTTGTTATTTATTTCTTAATACTATTCGGAAATTTTCATTTCTTAGCTTCTGTTGAACACTTCGCTAGACGATGGGCCAGTTATGTAAAAGATGAGGTTGACACTTTGTCAGAATGGATTAAGGACATTGGCAAGGTTCCTGGTTTTTGCATAGAATTCTTCAAGAACTCTTGAACAGGTATATTGGTACTAAACATGATATATTCTGGTACATTTAACCCACTAAGCCACCCTTCCTTATTAGATTTTGTCAAATCAATGTTTTTACAATTCTCAATGCATTTCCTATGTAAAATTTTGATAAAAAGGACATGCGTAATTTTTTACCATATATTTTTTGCAAAATTCAGTAATTTCAGAAAGATTATATATTATATACATTATTGTATCCCAATTTCCAATTATATCTAGATATTATGACCGACAACACAAATTTACAAACATGACATGGATCTACCAAGTTGAACACTGTTCATTATTTTAGTGTTACTTCCCTTAGCATCTAATTCGTATTCATAATGGTAAAGATTGGCTGACTGTTTATGTTAAGTAATTTACCATATTGGAAACAAAGTTTCATAAAAATATTGGCAAAGATTTATTTATATATTTGTTTGCAATTACTGCATGTAAATGGTCCCTCCTTCGCACGACCTGATACAGTTACAAGTTCTCAACATTTGTCACATCTTGCGATTGTCCTTCCCAGCATAGGCACGGTAAATTATAAAGTTAAACGAGACTTACCTGGAAGGTGAAGTTTGACTGTAATTTTTCCTCCATTGAGAGACGTAGGGATCAAATGAGATGAAGTTCAAGGTCACGTAATCATAATTCAGAGGAGTAGTAGTAAATATTGGGGCATCAAGTTATACACAAAATAATAGGGCGGGACTCGGAAAATCCATAGGGTTGGGCATTTGATCCCTACGTCTCTCAATGGAGGAAAAATTACAGTCAAACTTCACCTTCCAGGTAAGTCTCGTTTAACTTTATAATTTTTCCCCATTGAGAGCCTCAGTCTCAAATGAGACTTCAGAGTTGATGACCCAATAAAAATAGATCACAAACTTCATTACCAAATAAATGCAAACAAGTTTTAACTAACTTTATTAACTCCAACTCAGATTGATGAACACATTTCCATATATAATCTGCTACAAGTTGTCATTTTGAAAATTGTCCAACAAAGCATTGCTGAATTCACTAGACAGTTTAACTGGTTTGTTATAAAATTTTCTAAAGGTATTGTCAGTAGTCCAACCTGCTGTTCTCAGAATTGTGGCAACAGACACCTTAGCTTTAGCTGCAGCACTAGTTGCTGCTGATCGTGTACTATGCGGGGAAAAACAGTTCATGTCTATTCCAGCATTTGTCATAACTGATTTGATCCAGCGACCAATGGTATCTACAGAAATTGGATTGTGAGGCTTTTGGGTACTTATAAACAATTTACATTCTGAGCCCCTCAATTTTTTAGTTCTATGAATATATTCCTCATATACATGTACAATACATAAATCTATATCATTTGGATAAGCAGCAATAGAAATTTCATCTAAATGATGCCCTGGTCTTGTTTGCTTTAACAAGTCACCATATTTAATGATTAACATATTATCTCTCACAGAAACATTTCTAACATCTAGAAGATGTAAACCTTGTTTTCGCTGTCCAGATAATAAAGCTAACAACATTGCCAATTTCTTTGACAATTGAAACAAAGACAAATCCTGCACAGGAGACAATGTCTTAAGATATCCTAAAACCTTATTTACATCCCATGTAAAATGATATTTGGGTAAAGTTGGTCTTGACAAAAATACACCCTTCATAAAACGTTTAACTAATATATGATCACCTATTTTCTCACTCGAGTGATCAGAAAGAGACAAAAATGAACTTAATGAGCTTCTTGCCGTGTTCAAAGCACTGTAACCAAGATTTTTCTTATACAAATTTGTAAGAAATTCTAAAACTAAATTAACATCTGTTTTAAATGGATCACTCTGTTTTTCACAACAAAACTGCAACCACTTTTGCTGATAACCCCTATATTGTCTTTTTGTGGATTCCCGCCATGATCTGCAGATAATATTGACAGTTTCTCCTGATAATTCTCTACTGAACAAGCATTGCCGGACAAGCTGAATGCAGCTATCTTCATCTTTGTCAAGGGATGTCGTCGTTTTGGATCTTTTGGCAATTTCAAGAGAGTCTCTGTTTTCGGAAGAAGAAAACACGGACCTGCAACTTGATGCATCAGCTGCGGAAACCATGGCTGCGTCTTCCACACTGGAGCTATCAACAGAGCAAACTGCACTTCCTCCTCCTCGATCTTCTTCAAGACACTGCTTATGACACTAAAAGGAGGAAATAAATAACAGTCAATATTTCTCCAAGAATGTGCAAAGGCATCAACTCCTAATGCATTTGGGTCTGGTGTATATGAATAATATTTATTTAACTGATGGTTGTCCTTTGATGCGAATAAATCTATTTCACATTTTCCACACAAATTTGTCAGCTTATCAAAAACCATTTCATCTAACTTCCATTCCATATCTACATTTTTGCGAGATAACGAATCGGCTATAATGTTTGTTGCACCCTGGACATGTTCAGCACTAAGCCAGATGTTCCTATCTATGCACCAAGTCCATAATTCACGAGCTAGTTCATTCAATGTTGAAATCTTGCCCCCTTGCTTATTAACATATGACACGGCTACTGAATTGTCCATACACAGTCTAATATGGGAATCTGAAATATTTTCTCCCAATCCTTTTAGAGTGTAAAATCGAGCTAAAAGCTCTAAATAGTTAATGTGTGCCTCACAAATATTATTGTCCCATAATCCACTAATTGCTTCACCTGAATCTTCATTCACTCCACCCCATCCAAACTTTGAACTATCACTTTTGAAAATGAATTTTGGGGGTTTTCTAGTTAATGGTTTAAAGGATTTACACACATTAAGAGACCACCAGTTTAGCAGTATCCTACTCTGATGAGAAATTGTCATATGGGCTTCAAAATTGCCTCGATTAAGTTTTAAAGCCAAATCTTTTTCAATTTCTAAGGTCTTATAATAAAGTCTGGCATATTCCACCCCTGGTTCAGAGGCTACAAACATGCCTACAAGCTGTGCAACCTGTTTAATTGTCACTTCATTTTGATTCAAAACCATATCACAAAATTCTTTAATAGATTGAGCTTTCTCTGGTGTAAGTCTAACCGTCATTGTAACCGAATCTAATAAAAATCCCAGAAAGACAACATTCTGGCTTGCATAAAACTGAGTTTTATCAGGGTGAATAGTAAATCCTAGACTATCTAAAGACTTAACAGTGTCTCTTAAATTAACTTCACACTCATCTTTTGTGTTGCCCAATAACAAAACATCATCTATGTAAATTACATTCAAGTGACCAAATTTCCTAAGTTCAGCAAAAACAGGCTTCATGATTTTAGTAAAAATACGTGGAGCACTGGCTAATCCCATAGGTAGACAGGTGAACTGATACGTTTTATTTTCCCACCTGAATCTTAAGAATTGTCTACTACATTTATGAATTTTCACAGAATAATAAGCATCTTTGATATCAAGTGAGCTAAACCAACAATTTGGTTTTATTAAAGATAATGCTGACCTCAATGTCTCCATCTTGAAATGATGATTGTCAACAAACTCATTTAAATTCTTTAAATTCAGAATAATTCTAAAAGACCCATCTTTTTTGGGACGCAGAAAAATGTTTGAATAAAAAGAGTTTTCACACAAATTCTCATTTTCATGAACGCTCTCTACAATTCCCTTCTTTAAAAATTTTTCTACTTCTCTTTGAGCTGCTTCATACTCATTTTCAGAAAATTTTAGCGAATTTGGTATGTGAAATTGAAAAGGTTCATATTTGAATTCTATCTTGTAACCTTTAACAACATCAAGAATCCAACTATCATGAGTTAATGTACACCAATTATGTAAAAAATTGTTGATTTTGCCTGCAGTAAAATTTTCAGGCGTGTTTTTCAATACAAATTGATCTACAATTGTACAAACATTAGACATACTAACATCATGTGAATCTACTGATTTGACTCTCCTTTCTTCTTTTTCTTGTTGAAGCTGAACTGTTTGGCCAAAAAAGAATTCCCTTTTCCGTTCCCGTACCTTGGCTTCTTCTCATAGCTATGGGAGTAATGGGACACTTTGGGAATTCTGTATTTTCCACTGTAATCTTTATTTCCTATCTTTTGAGCCAGTTTCTTTGCTTCAAGCACATTCTTAACTTGACTGCCCAAGTCGTCTCCGAATAAATTTTCTGAAGAACTCTCTGCAGAACACAAACTTACAAACTGTTTGTTTTTCTCTGGCTGGATAATTTGTTCCCGCCTCTTGTAGGACAAATTATGGAAAACACACTTCTGAAACTTCAGGATGTCACCGCACAGCTGTTTTGCCTTCTTCACATCAACTGATCCTTTTTTCGAGTTGCAATTAATAAGCATGTCAAAAAGTCTCAATGTCGGAATCATGGCTTTTCCTATGAGATTCTGGGTAGTCTGCAATTTGATATCGCTTGCTCTGTTTTTGGATGACATGTTTTCCCAAATGACTTTGTTGACTTTTGGCGCAGAAATGTTGTTAATGTTCTTCGGCCTATCATACTTGTTGGAGATTTCTTTAATTTTCTCCGAGTTAGTTTTCGTCATGAACATTTTCTCCATGATCTTTGCCAGCTCAGAACTTAACGGTTCGCTCGTCTTGTCTTCATCACCGAAAAATTCGGACAGTTCATTAAGAGCAGAAACCTCATCATCATCTGACGAATCATGAAAACTATCATCTCCCTCAATAAGGGAATTAAGTGCTTCATCAGCATCCGATTTGTCTGAATTTTCTACATCAGAATCATTATCACTAAGTTCGTGAGAAGGACGAATACATGCTTGAGACGTTTTCGTTTTCTTGCGAGGTGGCGAAGTACTCTTAGATCTATTCTGTCCGCGTTTCCTCGAAACGTCCGGAATTGTATCCGTTGAAGACCGATCAGACTTCAAAGCAATAAGTTCCTTTTGAACTGAAGTCATGGTCTTAGATATATCTGCAAATTTACGCATGAAAATGTCAAACATACCACTCATATTTTCAGTATGCTGCTTCGAATGCATCGTGTTATCGTCACGAACGGCATCCTCGTCAACTTGATCTACTAGATCATAGCTGGTGGATTCTCGCATTTGCGATGATGGTCCCGGCTCATTAGCCATGCCGCCAAGAAAGAATGCAGAAATTAAAAGATTCTCAAACGCTAACTCCACACCACATGGCGTGTAAAAGTTAAATGGCGCACGGGGCTACAGCCCCTGCCTCAGTGACGTCACTGAATCAAAAGCTGCACGTCTTTATCAACACATGTTGAAAGAATGCAACGCTAAATGCTACAATTCCCACATGGGAAAAGCGCAAAGAACATGTGTTCTGTACAAGCAATATTGCTACAAACCACTGGCTACAAAACCAGTGGAAAATTTAATTAAAGTGATTAATAAAATCCGAAAAGAATTCTCTAACATCACTCGCGTCTGAACTATGAAAAGACATAAACTTCTATGATTACGTGACCTTGAACTTCATCTCATTTGAGACTGAGGCTCTCAATGGGGAAAAATAACGGCCTGTTGAGTACTGTTTACTGTCTGTCCCTGAACACAATATACAACAAACTACCACCATTTTTCTTTCTTGCTGAAGAGATGATTCTACCCGTTGAATGAAGCACATGTGCTTTTGTTTACCTCGATCAGTTAAATACGCTTTATTGGTTTTCATTTCATAGAGAATTCTACACGGGGGATTACTCTAAATCACAGTTTTATAAGTGAATAAACCCATGATATAAACCTTTTTTTCTCCGGATAACCGTGACTTGCCAATGTCCTTAAATGTATCAGATCCATGTTAAAATCGCGTATTAAAGGATTAAAGGACAATATAAAAACCATCTATCCTTTTGTATTCAATAATCCAGAAGTGAGAAAAGAATTCAGTAGATCACATGGTCAGTACGTACTGGTCCCTGCTGACAAAGCAGGTAACAACATTGTCTTCGTTTGTAAGGCTCATTATATAAATTGCATTTTAGGGGAACTTTGATTTAATTCTACAAGCGGTAATCCAACTTATACTCATAGTTCCCTTTCTAAGGAAGAAATTCTTCAAAATCATATGTCAGTTTTTAATATTTTTCATTTTCCAAAGAACCAAACTGAATTTGAACTACCAAATATATACTGAATTCCGAAACTTCATAGAAATTTTTACAGATACATAGATGGTTGCAGTAATTGTCCAAGCTTCTTTCTTTACTCCTCACTAAGAAACAGAAAGGGAGTACTGTGCAACATTATATTCAAGAAGTGGTGTAAATCAGATGTGGATACTTAAAAATTCCAAGGAACGTTTGGACATTTTATATCACAAGATTTTACCAAAATCAATAGCTTAAAAACTTACGACTTTTTAACTTTATACACAACCATTCACCATAAAAAATTAAAGCCCAAGCTTTTTGATATCATTGACAGCTGATTTTTCAATGCAAATGGAACTCGTAAACTTACTTTTCTTGTCACTGATCATTTGCGAAATTATTTTCCTAAAAACATCCTGATTGTACACCCAACTACTCCGAAGTTGACATCAAAAAGATGCTTGAAATTCTAATTGACAATATATATGCTGTTTTTGGAGACCATGTCTTCAACAATCTATTGGAATATCACATGGGTACCAATGCAATTGCGTCCTGTTATTAATTAGCAGACCTTTTTTTTCGAATTCATAAGGCAGAATTTGTGCTAAATCTTTTGCGTGAAAAGAAATAAGCACTTGCTATGGCCTTAAACTCGACATTTAAATATATCGACGACGTATTTTCAATTAACAAAAGTACTTTCCATTCTTATGTCGATATGATAAATTCTGGTGAGCTTGCGATAAAAGATACCACAGATTCTGATACATCTTATTTGGATATTGTTCTTGAAAAAAAAAGTTAATGATAATCTAACAACCAAACTCTATGATAAACGTGATGACTTTAACTTTTCTATTGTCAACTTCCCTTACTCATGCAGCAATATACCTTCATCACCTGTATAGGGAATTTATATATCTCAATTGATACGCAAAAGCAGGTTCTGCGTATGAACAATTTCTAAAATGAGGTTAATTATTGAAACAAGTTGATAAAATAGGAATTTCAGCAGTCTCGTTTAAAGTCATCATTTCGTTAGTTCTATGGTGGATACAATGACCTTATCAGCAAATACAATTTATCATTGAGTCAAATGGTGACTGACGTTTTTCATGCTAATTGTTAGTCCATTTTTATACACTGAACTGACGACGTATTTTCCTGATCATGACAAGTAGCACACGGCGGGTGTGACCGATCGGCAGGGGATGGTCATTCCTCCAAGGCACCTGATCCCACCTCGGATGTTTTTGGAGGTCCGTGTTTGATCTGCTCCTATTTAGACTTTCGATCTTGAATACTGTTCGTTATGTCCATATGTTTCACGTCATCACATTCATACGGAGGTTATTTCTCTCAACTGATTCGATACGTAAGAGCATACTCTACGTATGAACTATTTCTAAAAAGAGGTAATTTAGTGATTATTGACAAACAAATTGATGAAACAAGAATGTTAGCAGTCTCGTTTAAGGTCATCATTCCGTAAGTTATATAGTCGATACAAGGACCTTGTCAGCAAATACAATTTAACATTGAGTCAAATGGTGACTGACGTTTTTCATACTATTTGTTTTTGAAGACATCATTTACACACTGAACTGACGACGGATTTTTCCGTTATTTACCGATCATGGCAAGGATTGCACGGCTGGTGTGACCGGTCGGGAGGGCGTGCTCACCCCTCCATGGCACCTGGTCCCACCTCTGATGTTTTGGAGGTCCGAGTTCTCACTGCTCCTATTTTGTATTGTTTTATGGACTTTTGAGCATGAATGCTATTCGTATCTCCATATTTTTCATTGTTTTTATTCATCAACTAAATAAATTTCTTAAGTTCGTTTTATTAATTTCTATTAGGTTATTCAATGTATATGTCCACTCAATATATCCCAGTTAAAATGAAATAAAAGACATAAATGGTGCCTTTCAAATCAGACAATAAAGTCAAATTAACAACTAATTTGTATGATTTGTATTGTATTTGTATTGTCTTATGGACTTTTGAGCTTGTATACTTGAATATCTCCATATATATCATGATAAACAAGATGATTTTAACTTTTCCACAGTCAATTTCTTTACTTATGTAATAATATTCCACTTCATTTACATTCCAAATGATCAAGGTCATGCTGAAAATTTCTCGAAAGGGACGTTAAACAGCAAACATAAAATCATTCTCCCAGTACGGTCCATTGTTTAAAATAGATAAACTACGAACAAATAGGTTGATCCAGTA